AGGGCAATGAGTGTGAACAATGCATCATCTTTTTACACCATGGATGTGACATTTCACCCAGAGCCCTCCACCATTGACGTCAGTCCTAGTCATTGTCAGAGTAGTTTGACTTCATCACCCTCCCCCCCGCTTTATTGCTTCTTCCACGTAACTGTACCATCAAACAAATCGAAACTTGGTGGAAGAGAAGCTGAAGAGATTTTTAAAAATGAAAAAGCTTTCACATATTTCACACTTCTGGTGATTGCCAAGGCTAAGTACTGACTGGGGGATAAACAATAAGTAAAAACCATTCAGCTGCTTCATATTATTTACAAAAATGAATGCACATTTCCAAWTGAAACGGGTAAATCGTTCCTAAAAAGACTTTTTAAACTGTTAATTATCCAACAGAAAGCAGTGTCAGCTTGTTAAAAGTGTTCTGTTTGCCTAAAATCAGATTTAATGTTCTAATTCCAAGTTTTTTTTTGATTTTCTTTTCTTTTAGCCAAGAGTTTAAAATACACTTTTAGTTTGAGTAATAAAAAGCCATTTCCACTGATTATTTTTATTTTTAATTTTACATTTAATGACAGAAAAAGGTCACCAGATGAATTCTGGGATTTTTCAACCAATTCAAGTAAAGCTGAAAGAATTCAACAACAAAAAGGCACAATCACCTGCATAAAATAACTAGTTGAATAAAGTATATGCTAATAAACAAATCACAATTATTCGTCCGTCCATCCGTTCGTGTTATTCTGCTTATTTGAGGTCGGGTCACGGGGGCAGCAGCCTAAGCAGAGAGACCCAGACTTCCCTCTCCCCAGACACTTGGACCAGCTCCTCTGGGGGAATCCCAAGGTGTTCCCAGGCCAGCTGAGAAACATAGTCCCTCCAGCGTGTCCTGGGTCTTCCTCTGGAAATCCTTCAATGGGACATACCCAGAACACCTCACCAGGGAGTCATCCAGGAGGCATCCTTACCAGATGCCCAAGCCACCTCAACTGGCTCCTCTCGACGTGGAGGAGCAGCGGCGGCTCTACTCTGAGTCCCTCCCAGATGACTGAGCCTCTCACCTTATCTCTAAGGGAGAGCCCAGCCACCCTGCGGAGGAAACTCATTTCGGCCGCTTGTATCCACGATCTCGTTCTTTCTGTCACTACCCAAAGCATGTGACCATAGATGGGGGTAGGAACGCAGACCGACCGGTAAACCGAGAGCTTTGCCTTCTGGCTCAGCTCCCGCTTCACCACAACAGACCGGTACAGCGCCCGCATCACTGCAGATGAGTTTTTGCCTCAGCGACCACCCGAGCCGCAATCCGATTGCAATCGCAATTATTATTTTTTATTTTAAAGTTATTTTGTTGTACCTGGACTATGTTGTAAGCTTTTAAAATAAATTCACATTATTATTATTTATTCAGCTACGTTTTTAAATATTCAGTCAAATTAATTGCATTTGATGATATAAACTTAAAAATGACTGATCTTCAACATCTGCAAATTAGTTTGAATTCCTGTTCCAAGAGTTAAACTCGTCAGTTAAACAAAAATGAATTGTGTTTCTTGTCAATTAGCAAGGTGAATAGTGCAAAAGACAAGAGAAATTGTGATAATGTACCAGATGTTGCTTGTTGTCACCATGCAATTAGCCTATAGGCATATTTAGAGGACTTTTTAGCCAGTGCATGAGGTGATGGGATATCTCATAGATCCTGTGTTGTACTGAATTAATTAACTCAAACTTAACATTGTTGTTGCAAATAATAGTGTAACTTCAAATATTTTTGTAAATATACTTGGCACAAACTTAAGTAAATTAGTTTTTGGTAGGTTATTTCTTTGTTGTGACAATGCTTCATGGTAATAAATCTTTTACAGTTGGTGTTATTTTCTCTTTTAAATGGTGCCACATTTGTAAGCAACATGCATTTGTGAGTTGAGCTGAGTATGTGGGTTGTGCGCATGAAAAATTAGCCACATCATCTCTGCCAACAGCTTAGCTTCTGGTACCCCCAGCTGCTGCCTTTCAGGGGCCCAGTTTAGGATTTATTGCCAAAAAGCATTGTTATAATAAAGAAATAATCTACCAAACACAAATTTACTTACTTTTTTTTTGCTAAGTTTATGTTTAATAAAACCAGTTCTGAAAACATTTGAATTATTTTTTTGGTCCATTCAAACTAAACTATGCAAGACAAGGACATTCTGCCTGAAACAGTTGCACGTGGAGCTGAGAATTAATGCTCAGGATGACTAAAATCACCTGACAGGTCATTGGGTTTTCTCTGTTCAGCATGAAAGCTGCTCTTCAACATGCACACATATTCAGCTTGGCTCCATGGGGTGTAAGGTTAACGAGGAAAAGGCGATGGGGGTTTACTTTAAATCAGGTTAACGAGGAAAAGGCGATGGGGGTTTACTTTAAATCAGGTTAACGAGGAAAAGGCGATGGGGGTTTACTTTAAATCAGGTGATGCCTCACAAGACCGGAGCAAGTTGAAACAAAAGAGAGGAAAGTGGGCTAAATCTAATAATAAACCACCAGAAACTGACAAGTGCGTCAACGAAGCAACCACTTCACAACGGGGCTTTCCTTTGGCAGTTCAAATGTTTAATGATTCTCATGCTACGGGTCTGATGCAACAATCCAAACCAGCAGCATAATTTTAGTGCTCATAAAATGAAACTGAGCCTGAAGAAATGCAACACACAGATAAATATTAACACAACAAATAGTTATAAAACTTTCCATCTTCCAAATGTTTATCGTATGGTGATGTGTAGTTGTAAAGCAATGAGCATTTATGTGTGTTTAACTGATAATGACTGATTTAAGCCTTTAAAACAAATAATGCTAAAACAAACACCACGTGAGTGTTTTCTGTTTGCAAAGCTGACTGATGTGATCATATGAAGGTGGACGGAAATATAACTCAGCCTCTGTGTTCAGGGGAAAAAAAGAGTGTAAAGCTGTTCTGTGTATGTCCAGTGGATAAGAAAAAGATGCTGTAATAAAATCTATCAAACCAAACTTGTATAAACTTCATATGAAGTGTTAGAAAAAGCCAACAGGGTTATTCAGGTGAGATAAAGAAGCTCAGTGTATAAATCTGCAGCTCAAGTCTTGAGGGTATATTTGGTTTACAATAGTAAAGAAAAATTAATAAAGCCTCAACAGAGTGGTCTTCAATCWTGGTCTTCAAGGTCCAGTATCCTGCATGAAGACGTGTCTCTGCTTGTAGTCATTTAGGGGTTTTTTGGGTCAGAGTTGGGGTGGAAGGAAAACTGGCACTGTGCCGGCCTCTGCCCCATCTTCTTCCCCATTTTAATTGCACTATAGAACAACACACATCAACAGCACATCTGAGTGTGTGTGTGCGTGGGGG